CTTGGCATATCTCGGTGTGGTGTGCAGTGCTTACTTAAAAAATGTGAGGAAACTGTGTAGAGGATAAGTGTCCTTAGAAAACAGGAAGGAATCCAGCAACCCCTGACAAAGGAAGTGAGCGATGTATTTGGCCCTTCAGTTACTGATGCCTCGTCAGAAATTTTCTCAGTGGAACCGTGGCCAACAAGGAGCTATTCTGAAGGAAGTCAAACAAAGAGAAGGGCTGAGGTATGTCAAATTACGCAAGAAATTTTGGCTTATGGAGTAATGCATCCAAATTTAAAATCCGTGGTTCCAGTTGTCTTTAATAAGTATGCAAGAAGTGAGAAGTACAACAGTGGGTGGCTACAGCCATCTTTAAAACACGATGGAGGCTCTGTCATGGTTTGGGGCTGCATTTCAGCCATTGTTGTTGGAGATCTTGTTAAAACAGATAGAATCATGAATGAAGAAAAGTACCATCAGACTTTTATCCATCGTGCAATACTATCTGGAAAGCACCTGATTGGCAACAGCTTTATTTTTCAGCATGACATGATCCTGCCAATGCAGTAAAAGCATACCTGCATAGAAAAACACAAAATATAGCACTATCAGTCATGAGTTGGCCTCCCCGGGGCGCGTACCTCAACAGTTTTGATGCAGTGTGGGATCGTGTGAACAGAGAACATACTGAAAGGAAGCCAACATCAAAAGAGAAGCTTTGTCCTTCAAGAAGCCTCGAGAACTATTCCTGAAGACTACTTGAAGAAATTACAGGAAAGCTTTTCTAACAGTGTGTTGAAGAAGAGAGATGGCTGTATGAAATGCTGACTTTTGAGTTCTTTAGAATTTTGCAATCTCTGTTTTTTCTTATATACTGTATTTCCAAGTATTTTTGCAAATCGCAAAAAAAAAAAGAAAAAGAAGAAGCCGCACATATGTCATGTTTTCTCAACAAACTATAAAGAACTGAGGGGTGGCTCAAGACTTTTGCACATTATTGTATATTGAGTCAAACAGGAATGCTGCAAACTTCATTTGGTCTTTCTCATGGTAATTTTTTTTGTTGTTGCTTTGAAAAAAAGTAAATAAAAGGAAAAAAACTGACTTGGCAGGGAGAGGTGGGAAAACTTAAATTACACATAAAAGTGAAAGAAATCTCATAGCACTGCAATGTTATGGTCTGTTGATGTCCTGATACGTATCCCACGCATCTTAGGTGTGTCATTATCAAAGTGTCCCCACAGAAATGAGCTGCTGCATTATTTTTTTTAACGCTCACCATTCTTGCCTGTCCATTCAAAACATTTCCTAACATCAATCTTATTTTAAAAGGAAAGATTTAAACAAGAATCAAGAAATGAAAATAGACAAAGTACAATGCACTAGGGATTAAATTGTGATAGAGCGCCATAAGGATGAAACCTGCTGTGTTAAGCCAGAATTATACATTACTGAGGCATTGGCAAGTACAGATGGTTCTCCTTCCGTCTATTCTCTCTGGACAAATCACTTCATCTAGTTAGATTTATATGAGCATGACATCCAGTAGGCATTTATACCTGCTGCTTTCCTCAGTGCTTTCTCCATTAATGAACCAAAATGACACACGGCGAAATACATTCCCGGCAACATTGACACCTTGTGGTCAGTTAGCTCAAACACGACCCTGAATCTCATCATCAGCCACATAATAGATCAAAAGCACTCAGGCAGAAATGTGATTCAAAACAAATGATGTTAGCCTCAAAAGAAGAAACCTGCCCTCATTTAGTCTCCTTAAACTCAGATGCTACTGCTGGTATGAGCAATTACTGCACAGGTGGTCTTCTGAATTCATAATTGCAGCAGCATGTGCACGACTTGAAGGCGCGTGAGATCCTGACACTTCTTAGGAGGCAGAACGGTTACATTAGGAAAGCAATGTACGCGTCACAAAACGCTTCATTTTCATTCCTTTGCAAGAGATGAACATAAATCTGATTATGCGGAATGTTTGGAGACTATTAGCAGTTACAATACTTGCTCACATTGAATGCCCCGTTAGAGAAAAACAAAAAGATCTTACCAGTGTCATCTGTTTGTCTTGGAGTCCCTCCAAAAAAAAGGCCCACTGCTATAATTATAAACAAGCCATTTAAATTACCAACATAAACGAATTATTTGTTGTGCACAAAAAGTGTCCAAACATGTCACTAGGTGGTGTGATGAATGCAGCCTGCATGTAATTGAGAAGATAAAAGCTCTCAGCTCTATTCGACCACGGCCATGAATGCCGAGGAGTCCCCCCTCCCGCCTTTGCAAACAGCATTCTTATGATAATGGAATAATGCTGGTGCTTTAGTTAATTGTGTATAGGCGATAGTGGTGGGCACCTTTTGTTGTGGGCTCTCACGAGCTTAAAGGAAAGAGCTGGCGGGGATTATAACTCTTATGGAACTTCTTTAATTCCGCCCCCCTCTCCTTAAAACCATACTTTATTCCCACTTTGCATTCAATGTGTTGAGTGTTTTTCTTTATTTGATGTGGTCTAAGAGTTTGTCGATTCAAGATAAGATTTCACATATGTGATGCTTATGATTTTTGCCAGTTAAATAACAGAACCCTTTATAACAGGTGTAACATAACAGTTTGTTCACAGTGCGCCCAAATCAAAGTTCTGCCCTGTTCAGGGAAAATTAGCACATTTACTTTGTTTAAGTGAGACACCTTTCTTAAGCATATCAATAGCAACACAACATGCTGACTCAAGTTCCAACTGTGAGGGGGTAAAGCTCCATTTTCACAGAAATCCCTGTATTTGTATTTAAATGGTGCATTTCAAGGCATTTAGCTTTAGTTATCAGGAAGGCTGGTTTTACCAGATCCTGACAGACTGTAACAGCCTCAACAGCAGCTGATGGCACACTATGATAACACTGCATCACATCATATTATAAGAATGTAACTAAGATATCATAGTAGGCAAGGTATAAAGAGTAGTATAAGATTTGGAAAGGCCAGAAAAAAAACTTTCTATTTATTGCAAACAATCATTTTTTCGCTATATAAACCTGCACTTTAAAAAGAACTCCTATTACTACCACAAAATAACCAGTATTATTAGAATACTGCTACTAGTTGGGTAACATTTTACTAATTATTTGAGCAGCAGAGCATGACTTCCCATCTTCCACATTACTTATGTATCACATAGAGCTTTTATATTCTACATTTCTTTAGCTAAATACACTGACCTGCACTGATCATACCCTCTCTTACTTACATTACTTTTATCCGCCGTCACAGTCAAATCTCTATGTTTTCTTTAGTTAGTACAGCTAGTCAACAAAACATATACATATATGCCCATTTCATGTGCACTGTAAAAATGGCTGCAATTACTACTACACAATAACTAGTTCTATTGGGCAAGGGGAACATTTTAAAATTTGCCCTTATCTAATTATTCAAGCAGCAGGTGCATAGCCCGTGTTCAACATGAGTAATGCATCACATGACGCTTGCATATGCTATAATTTTTGATATATATATTATATATATTACTAATATAGTATATACCATAGATACTATATTATATATATATATATATCTCTGATATATTATATCTGTGTGTGTGTGTGTGTGTGTGTGTGTGTGTGTGTGTGTGTGTGTACGTAGTTGGTATGTCAATCTATTCAGACATATTATGCATACAGTTATTGTTTTAGCCAGCTGGCAGCAATTAGCTTAACTACTTTACCTTTTTCTACCCTTTTTCTATTTTAATTCGCACTTGTTATTAGTGGGTGCATGAGCTCGGTAGAAAAATAGTCTGTCTGTTGAATTCATTTAGATAACCTGAAGTGATAAAATGTAGTAAAAATGCTTCCTTTATGTGACATGACTCAAATGTAAGGGGGGGTTTATTAGTAAGACCCCATGCCTGCACCAACAGGTTTGTTTTCAACTGAACTTGTCTGGAAACAAGGTAGGCGTGCAGTTACAAACTTTATTTCTCTGTTTTGCAAAAAATCATTGTAGTTTAACATATATATGTGCGAACTTAAAACAAAAAAAAAGCTAACATAGCTGTATTACCTTACAAGCTGTTGCTGGCCTTTTGCAGTTAAGCTAACTAGCTTAAGGATGCTAGGCGGGTTAAATGGCATTCATACCATTGAAAATAGTTCCAGTCTTGTATTTATATGCATCTAAAATATCACAAAACAGTTGGTTGTTTTCATTATTTGTTACAAACAAGTGAAGGAAGTTGTAATGAAGGTAGGACAGGTAAGGCTAAGTGCTTATTTGGCATAAGTTGGGAAAGCTAGTGTTTAGCAGACTAGCTAGCCAGTGACATGCCATTAGATATGTTTTAGTTAAAAAATGTGATTATTCAACACCAACTATCCAAACAACTGAAAACATAAGCGATGTTATTGATGAGAAATGTATGATCACATTAGTGTTATTACTAATAAACGTAGTCAACAGCTGAAAAAGCTACTCATGCTTTTTTTAAATGTAGTTTGAAGTCAGTATTTATAAACCAATGCCATTTGGAAATTTAAAAATAAAGTAGAAAACAACATGAAGTTGTAAGAAACCAATTTGTCATCTGGTATATTTAAGGAGATCAGTGAGAGTTGTCCTTGGAAATACATTTTTAAAAGGAGAACCTTTTACTTGTTCTCATGTATCACATATAACTTGTCATATAGTTACACAAATCTTTAAATTTACTTGAATTCATTTAAAGAAGAAAAATAAACTCGTCAATTTCCTTTGGAGGAAAACTTTAAGCGCACAACTGTGTTTTATGCACTTCTAAATCATATTCTGTATAAAATTGTGATTAAAAACAATAAATATTCATTTAGTAAATTAAACCGTATCACCACAAATGCGAATAACTCGTTCACGTTTGTCAGTAATTTTGGTTATTTTGGTTAATTAGTTGGTATTTTATTAAATTGGCAGTGTAAATTATTTTATCTGCCAATTTAACTTCTGGGTGGGTACAAACACCCTGGTGTGCTTCGGAGTTTGCGTCGTGGACTCTTCTGGAGAGGTCTGTGTCCTCGAAAAGGTTGCGCGTTTTGGGGGATAAATCAACGCTATAACCGAGACACTGGATAAAAAGCTGGTCAATTTGTCAACTTTTTGTAATTAAAAAAGACCAAATCATCTCCCTTTTCCGTACTGTCCCTCTAAAGTGCCGATATTTTTAGCTAAAATTGGACGTAGAGGGTGCACCTTTGCGCAGAGACTGGTTTAACGCTGAGAGGCTCCTCTGGGTGCACAAAGACAGCGGCTCGCAGAGGAACTTGTTCAGAGTGAACCAGGGACGCTGGGAGGCGAAATAAACAATCTCCGGACTCGAAGTAGCAACGGTCGAGCAGTTTTATCTCTCGAAACACGCTATTCCGCCACCCATCCGAGAAAAACAAGGTAAGGACTTGGTTTAAATACGTTTCAGCGGGACTTGAGGGCTACGGAGCGGGTTGAACCTCCTTCGCTTTGGCTTCCCGAGCATGGTTGTTTTTGCAGAAAATGGCGTCATCGCCCTCTTGTTTCTGCCTGGCCGCGGCGAGGAGAGGAATAGTTTCAGAGACTTGTAGCAGCCTTTTACACGCGGCGATTACTTCCTCAATGGTAAAATCTCCTACCGCGATGTGTTTTATTCAACAGAGACCGGTCAAAATACGGGGTTGTTCACCAATTCGCTCGGTAGAAGGACGCGCAAAGATGGAAGGGTCACCGGTCCTGTGCGCCAAGCTGCTTCTTGGAAAAGGTGCCACGGAGCCGCAAAACGCAGCGTTTCACATTCGCCGTGATATCATCCCCGGCCACTCCAGGATAATCCAAATGATCGGGGACGTTTTAGTGTTGCGGTCACGGTGGCGATGGACGGATTCGTGCGAGAGCTGCACCTTGTCTTTGTGTGTATTTTATTCGGGTTAGCTCGTTTTTACGCCGCACTCCCCTGCCATGCTGCAATAGTTACGAGGGGCCTCTCTTTAACGGCGTGAAAGGTGCATTTTATACTTGGCCTTTTCTTTGATCACGTTAAGCTGCTCTTTTGTTGCTCAAAACAGTGGCGTTTTTTAGGCTGACAATATAACCGTGTAAAAGGAGATTTTCGGGGATAATGGGGGGCGATGCAAATCGTGCCATGAGAACGACGACTGCTCTGCGCTCTGGTTCGCGGTTTACCAGACGAAGATAGCCTGAATGAGGTAAAAAATAAAAGTCTTTTGAGCGAATCGCACAGTTTGCACAAAACCGGGGAAGTCCGGCGCTGCGCAATGATTGTGCTGTTGCTTTGCGCAGAGAACGGTGGCAGCTGCTGTAACCGCCGCCACCTTTTCGCCGCTATATTTTTTGTGTGTGTTGGCCAACCTTTTGTAAATAGTTGGACTCTTGGATAAAAGAGCACAATAGCATTCATGCGGGCCCTTTATGGCCTGTGAATGTGGTCCTAAGTCACACTCTGGCTGTCCTGTCTTTCGCCGTCAGCTACGTGCATGCGTCCTAGCTCTGGCCACCACACATCCACCATAGCGAGGCCACTGGGTTCCCTGTGTATACGCTCTGCTTGGTTCCTCCTGTGGCCAAAAGTCGATGACGGATCGTGTGGTGAGTGCTAGCACAGGCCACTGGGATTAAATCGAAACAACCACAAAAAATCAGCCACGGAGACTGCACATCGCTCGCTCCGTGCACATTTTTATTAAGTTTCCTGAGTTATGCAACCGCATCCCCGTAGAGCGAACTGCTCATCCGCCTTTATTTACTCGTCCCCCGCCGTCGGATGGATATTTCTGTGGTAATATCTGGTGAATTGGACCAGTCCCTGTGGCGACGACACCGAATTAGGAAGATATGTCATTTGCAAATCACCCAGTGCCATTTGCGTCACAGCCCGCGGCCTCGCACGCCCATGGGGGGCGATGGAGTTGCAAATGGAGACTGTGTGTGTGTGCTGACGCTGCCCCAGCTGAACGAGAACCAATAGACACGGACTCGGGCGGCAACAATCGCCGTGCGCTTTCACTCTCCAGTAGTGCACCGACTTGGATTTCGTATAAACACGGAAGATCGCGCCGTTTATTCGAGATGGTTATGTTTCCATCGCTCTCCCTGGGATGCGTAAGTGGATGCGTACACACACTGGTTAAACCTGCTACGGGGCTCGACAGGCCAGCCGGAGAGGAGTATATCCGTCCGGTCCTTTCCTCATGGTGCTCGGTGCATGTGGCTTTTGTGAACTCGCTCATGTGGATACACGTCTTTTCCACTGGATCGCGATGATATGGCCGTGAAGCATTTATGAACAGCGCAGAGAATGGGGTTGGATTATGATTCGGACACTGGATAAGCACTCGCTCGTTTTTTAGTAACATCCACGGCGCGCCACGCGTTTCTGGTTTGGAGATGAGCATGGCGTTTTTACCCAGGAACGTTTTATTTGTTGCCGTTGCGCTTTGGGGCACTGCGCATGGTTTGATCGGCCAGACCGAACTAGAGAACTAAGCCATAAAGTCGTGAAACGGTGATAATGTCAGCTACAGAATCCTTTATAAGATACTGTTGTGCAGTAAAGTCAGTTAAATCACTCTTTTTCTAAGCAGTTTTTGAATGTAACGGAAATGCGTGAGCTTTACACGAATTTTGCAGCGATGTCAACATACAGGATTTTGATTCGTGAAATTAATTAATAATATTATCTCATATTACCTGAATTTTTGTTTACCTGACTAACCCCCACCTATGTGTTTACATTGAGTTTTTTTTTTTACATATTTTTTTAACTGTGCAGTTTCCACTTCCTGTACTTTTATTTAAAAAAACAAAAGGTTACAGATCAGTAGAGATTGCTCCCTGTGCTGTGAAACATGTTCTCTAAAGCACAGATGCCACCCTGAGGTAATGGAGTGATATAGGAATCTTTTCTTCTTTGACAGTTTAAAGCTCCCAACTTTGAACTTGCAGGTGGCTGTTATTTCAGTATTTGATTAACTGAAAACTTATTTTGCACTGCATGCTGTCAGAACCTGGCTGCACTGCCCCCTATTGCCTCTGTTTTCTCTATTGCCCTCTGTTCAAGCTGTGACACAGTGCATGAGTAACTTTGACAGAATAGAGATGGTCAGTCTAACCTTCGGGAGTGACATGAATGGACAAGAAGGCCATGAGTTTAGATAACAAAGTGGGCGACAGAGGACTAAAATAAAAAGGAGGGTTAGTCTGAAGTTGACAGAATTGTTCTTCATGAGCAACCACTATATATTTGTTATTCCCTGTATTATATATTGTTTCATATTACTTTTATATTTGCCATTTTTTTGGCAAATCTTTTAACTACCTCAGCTTGGCCTCCATTCATTTTATTCTAGGTGTTTATTTCTTTTTAGCAGCTTGAGATAAGAACAGCAGCCAAGACTGCCTGGCTTTCTTCCTTGCTGAGGCACCACAGGTATCTTGGTTTTCACCAGGGTGGATGCTGACTGCAACAGTTAAATGACGTCACTGTATGATTCAGTCAGGTTAATGATGTAGTGTTGTGTTCAGTCTCTGAGTCAGCTTGTCAAACCAGTGTGCAAGTTCAGTCAGTCAACAAGCCTTTTTACCTGCCAGTCACACACCACAGTAGAAACACAGCAAAATATCCATTCAGCCAGGAAACAAGATAATCAATTTCAGCAAAACGGCCAGCAAGCTAGGTAGTAAGTCAACTAGTGAGCCAGGAAACTATGGTGGAGTATTTCGAGTCTACAAAACAATTAAATACACTAGAGCATAGGTGTCAAACTCTGGCCCGCGGGCCAAATTTGGCCGCCTAATTACATTTGGCCCGCAGCCATACCAAATTACTATTAGAGCTGGCCTACTGGTATTATACAGCTAATATATATATTGTTTAGTATTAAGCTTTGCTTGTTCCATATTCAGTTTTTCAGCAAAACGTGTTTGAGTCCATAAGAAAAGATTCATTCTTATATCTGGAGGAATAAATATATTTCAAAAAATATTAACGTTAGCCCGCGACTTTGTTCCAGTTTTGAATTTTGGCCCACTGTGTATTTGAGTTTGACACCCCTGCACTAGGGAAACGTATTTTGCAGTGTTCATGGTAAAGACAAGCACAGTTTTCAGTAGATATCAATCTGTCAACAACAAAAAAAAAGACTTTTTACCTATTGTGATAGAAATATCTGACTAGAACAGTTGTTCAAGGCTGTTGTCACAACAGTGTTGCCTCATTACAGAGTAGGGTGGGATCTCAGGTGATCTGTGTGTGTTTTGGATTTCATAGATTGTTGCTTTCTTTCTTTGCCATTCATTGTTGACATCACCCTCTTTGGGGCTTGTACTTAATTATACATTTATGTGTGATTTTTAAAGCCTTGATATGAAGTAGACTATGCACTGTGCATCCACACCTGGCCTGAAAATGCCCATTATGCATCTCTTGTGGTTTTATTTATTTAAATCTGTGTCTGTGCTCCCTTTCCATGCTTTGCTGCTGCTGCTGCATCTCTTTATGTTGCTCTAATCTGCTGTGTGCTTGCTTTGAATTAAGGCTAAGGACGGTGTCCTGTGGAGAATTTGTTTCATATCTGGTTTGGTCTAATTCAGCTGTTGTGTGTACTGCCACCGAGTGTGCCTTTAAAGGGTGTTCTGGCTCAATTGGGTTGATGAAAATGATGACATGAAAGCAAGTCAAGATATTAAGTTTCAGCAAACTTTGCTGTGCAATGATTTCTGGGCGAGAATGAAGTTGCTGCTGGGGAGAATGAGTCTGTGTAATAACTCAGCTGGTGTGGTTGTGGTGGTATCGCTCAGGTATTTTCCCATTTGCAACCAAAACGTTGTAGAGAATGATTTCTTTCCACAGTGATTAATGTTTGTGAGTTTCAGTATAATATCTCAAGACCAACTGGTGTGTGCATGTATATGAGATCCCATATGTTCCTGGGCAGCAACCTGTTAATGCTATCACACAGGATGTTACTGTAACACACAGTGAGATCAGTTAATCATATTTGAATGTGAATGTTTATTTTCTGTCAAAAGTACCTTTCTTGAAGCGAGAAACTCCACCGAATTTATCTAAGCTTGTTTTAGTGTTACAGTTAGAGGGACTATTTTGCAGTTGTACAGATATGTCTCCAAAAATGTTGGGACACTGTGTAAAATGTCAATATACACAGATGCCTCAATCTTAAATGCCTGTCCACCAAAGGGCCATGGAGGTGATATAGAGGGTGAAACACAAACTGGACAGCTTTCAAGTCTTTTGCAGTCATAACAAATATTTCTTTTGACATTGGGAGAAACTCCAATCAGGCACAGGGAGAACATACAAGCTTCACATAGAAAGGCCACATCTAGCCATCCAGTTTGAACAGGAACGCTCTTGGTGTCATGCAAAATGTTAAGTAACAGGACAGGGGGATAAAATTTGGAAAAGTTGTGGAGGTTGAACAGATTTGTTTTTGAGCAGTTTCAGAGTAAGACGTCTCAATCTAAGATACTTTGGGATTTCCATCATCTGTTGTACATGTTATCGTTAATTCATTCAAACAGTTTGGAGAAATCAGTGTATGCAAGGGACAAATAAAAATAAAAAATAAAATTTGGTTGCGCCAGCAGCAGTTCATTTAAAGCAGATACGATTCAGTAGTGAAACTCACTGTGTGGGCTCAGGAACGCTTCCAGTAACCGTTCTCAGTGAACACAGTATGTTGCTGTATCCACAGTTGCAAGTTGAAACTGTCATGTATAAAAACAAAACAATTCTCACAAAACATTACATTTCTATTAGGCTAATTTTAGCTTATGTTAAGAGTTATTAGACAACTGCAACCTGCTGTTTTATTTTTATTATTATTTTTGCATTGCGTTAGTTTTTCTTCACCTTCCTCTCACACATTGTGTGTGTGTGTGTGTGTGTGTGTGTGTGTGTGTGTGGAGCTGACAGGAGACAGCTGAAGTGCAATAATATGAATCGAGTTAATGAGGACACCTTATGTTACTCAAGTCCAGTAAAAGCTTTCCAGCAAGAGTTACACCAAACCAACGTCCTTCCAGCTTCTACCCTGTGTAACGTCTCTGACTGAGACGGAGAGCTTTGAGCTTTTCAGTCATGCCAACTTATTTGAGGAGAGTTTGTGGTAAAGTGTAAAACTTCTGGAAATATTCAAGAAAAGCTGCTGGTGTAGTAGGTGTGAAACACCTCCGAACTATTCTTTTTTTTGCTGTTAACATCTTCTGTGGTACATTAGCTCCCACTCTGGTTGATTGTGTGGTGAAGTGAACACAGAAAATCAGAGAACTGAATTGAACAGATAGGTAGGTAGGTAGGTAGGTAGGTAGGTAGGTTGATAGATAGATATCAGTGACAACATGGGACCTACGAAAAAGATCAATACAAAAGATCCAAATACTGGATTGCCGTATTCTTGATCAACATCCTATTTTTTCTGGGGCCCAGCTCACCTTGAAACCTGTTAGTAGCGCACATTTCAAAAGCCAGCATCCTGGGAACATTGGTGCATGTGACATGCTTAACTTGCACCTGTGCAAAGGTACTGGTAGTTAAAGTCAGAGTGCTGTTTAAAGGAAGAGGTGTCTTTCCCTGTCCTTCAGTCAGACTTTCAAAGTATAGATGTGGAGAAAAATTTGGAGATTTTGGATAGTGATACTTTTGGAAAACATGAGGCGGCCAAGTGGACCTCCTCCAAGTGGACGTCCTCTTCCTATATACATATTGCACATTTTCGAGAATACAAGCAATAAAGGGAAAGGGTCACCACCACCGTATATAAACTGTCCATTCTGTGATTCACCGTGTGGAAAGTGTTTACATTCAAGCAGCGCACAATATCACTGCCTCCATACTGTGCTGTAGTCATTATTGGTATACCTGCCAGCAGCTAGCATCATGTCAGTGTATAGAGTTCGTCCATTAGGGGGAAGTCTTCTCCAGCGGCCACAGGAAATGACTAGTAGATCATGATTGCTGCCATCTATCTAATGGCTCTGGCGCTACATAAGCAGTACATCTTATAATAATGCACACTTAGATGTTTAAATATTATGTAGCAAATATTTCTTTATCTGCTATACCATAGAAAGCTGAGGTTTCTCTGCAGCATGGAAAAAGTTATTTTCTTCTGTTGTGAATTTACCTTATCTATTTTCTCTCAAAAGGAAAATTACGATTTTTCTCCTAAAATAAGAGATGTTCCCAGATGGGAAACTCAGTTTACAAATTGGATTCATCATAGTATTAACAGAATTCACTATGGATTGCCGCTACAACTGAAACTCACACTCAGGTGTAATTTGTGAACTACTGAGCAATGGATGCCTGCTTGTTTTGCTGGGAATGGGTATACTGGAGTATTTGAATTGAAATTTTACAGCTGGAAATGGTAATGGTACTCAGGCAGTGAGTCATACTAGCCAGGTAGTGGGTGATTTGTTCAGAGTTATATTAGTATATAGGAGAGGAGAAGAGTTGAGCACTTATTTTTAGAATATAAGAAACATGTGATTAATTCTTAAGATTGTCAGCTTTGAGACTGTATTTCCAAGTGCCTCAGGCAATTTAGTCCCAGCTCAGCCTTTCATTGCAAACACAAGCTCATATCATTCATCTTTTTCTGCATTATCAGCTATTGTTCAGCAGTTGTTTATCAAGGACTGTTCTGAGGAGGATGGAAGGAAATGCCTTTTTCAAACCTGTTTCTTCTTTATTGATCTTTTGAAATTGGTCTTACAGCATTTGTGGAGCATCGTTTTCTTTCTGAGAGACAATTTCACAGAGCATCACTGTACTAGATGTACAATGCATAGTTTTCTCAACAGATAATGTTTTTTTTAAACATGAAAGGTGAGGATAACAATAATCACGGCTGCCAATATATTTAAAAGGTAAACATTAGTATACATTAGAATGGAGTGAAAGATGATTGATGGCCCCAAAAGTAGAATTTTAGAACTACTTAAAATATCTGACATGTTGATAAATGTGAGGAAAATAACGTGATTTTAGGCCAATGTGCTAACCATGCTAATATCGCCATTTCCAGTCTGAGCCACATTGGTGTCATTACCAGAGTCATAACACAAATCAGTACTTCATAACCACCTCTGTCTGTTGCCATACAAATGTGAGAGTCCCCTGTGTGTTGTTGACATGTGTGTTGTTAAAGGTGTTTGTTTTCAGCCTTTGCAGTACATGATGCCTCTTTCAGATATCAGTCACACAGGCCTAGAGACTGCTCAGTGAGTAACTGACATCCAGCAGGTCACCAACTGATCTCTAGGACTCAATGACTGGAGCCTAAGGCAGTGTCCACGCCGGGTGGTAGGGTCAGCTCCAGCAGACTGGGAAGAATGGTGTTATTAGCTGGAGTTATCAGTTATTAGGTGCTGCTAGTCTTGGGTCGAGATGTGTGTCTGTTTTGATACTATGGTATATTCAAATATGTAGATAAACTTATGTGTCAGTTTGCTGTATAGTACTTGTCTTGTAGATGTGATTGGAAAACGGTAACAAACATTTCTGATAGTTCTAGATTTAGTATGAAACTCAGAGGCTTAGATAATTTCAAATGTACTTTTTCATGCATAGTTCTTTGTGGTCAGAGTGACGGAAACTTGTAATCTGTGTCTGTTTTCTGTAATAATATATTCGTATTCAGGATAGTAGAGTGCTTGAATGCATCCCAGCATGCATTAAGTGAAACACTGAGAAACACCTTAAGCAGGTCATCAGGGGCCACTGAGCTAATGGATTAACACATAATAGATAGCCAGTTTTTCTTGAATGCATACTAAGACCAATGTAGGGTTCCTCACCAGTATTAGATGTTTTTAGACTTTTCACAAACATGGTGTACAAATTACACTCAGGAAGACCAAGGATCTTTTTTTGCTGAGCAGTGAAGGATAGGAGGGGGATAAGTCCACAGTGACTTCAAATTTAGCACTGCCTTTATATGTTGTATTAACTAAGGTTAACTTTAATATTTTTTTAAATAAAGAAACAGAAATTTTAAATGAGCTTGTTTCCTTACTCTCCAGTAGTCGGCAGGGTAGACAGACTTTCCAGTCAAAGTCCTCATTTCCCATTATAGTTAATGGCTGGTGTTAATCTCCCTCCTGATAAAAATAGAGCTTAACTGGGTAGGTGCATGATGTATTAATATGCCTGCTCTTAATTTTAGTTGAAAATACATAAATTTAATTGAATAGTTTTGTTAGAAATTCTGACTTTGTTACTGTTGACCTGTAGCATCCATGCTGTCCTTTCATTTTTTTTTTTTTTAGATAGACAAGATAAAAACAAATGCATTCCCACAGACTGACATTTTCTATGTCTCCAGCCATGGCTCCACTCTAGTTGAGCTCATCTGTTAAGTAGCTGCTCCATTATTGCAAGTATCCTCTGCTGTGGCATTATTGCATAGTGCTTGACTGGTTCATCATTAGTGCTAAAAGTCGGGATCCAGAGATGAAAAGGCGTGCTGTGGTTCTTAACGATGCCTGGCACACTAGAAATGTAAATTCAGGAACAATCTATATATAAAGTCTCTCTCTCTCTCTCTCTCTCTCTCTCTCTCTCTCTCTCTCTCTCTCTCTCTCTCTCTCTCTCTCTCTCTCTCTCTCTCT